CTTCTCTAGGCGAAAGTACGCCTGGACTCCCTCTACGTAGTCCTCAACTCGCATCGTGCGATTGTCTGCGAGGACACTGACTATGGGGTCTACTAACTTCTGGACTTTTAGTCCTAGCCTCAGCTTCTTCAGTGCCGTACGGCTAATGTAACTACGGGTAGCTCCTGAATCTATAAGGGCCCCTACCCTACTCCTAAACACCTCTACATCTACCAAAATCAGCCGTCCCTTACTTTCCCTTTTCATTTTGGCCCAGGCTGGCATCCTCTCCTTTAACTCTTCTGCCACACCTGTGAGGGACGTGCCGAAAGAGACGTTAACACAAGCAGTCTTTGGACAGCTATCTAGGCACGGGCCTGCAACCTCTGCCATAGGCTCATGTGGGTTGGGAGTGTCCTGTTCGCGCGCGCTCACTTCTCCACATGGCCTGGAAGTACGGGCAGTTGCGACCCCTACTGGCAGCTACCTTTTGACGACTGATCAGCCCAACGGGCTTGTCTATACTTTGGACAAAATTTAATTACGTGTGCCGGGTCACCACAGAATACGCACTGACCCATGTTCACGCATTCCTGCCATAATCGCTGATCCAAGCCCAAGTCTTCCCAGGGCCTGCCCTGCGGCAAGCCTGGGTGCCATCCTCCCTGAGGTGCCCTTCCACCTCCTCGCTATGGGGACCGGTTACCCTGGCGATTTAACGGGGGACCTTGAACCCTACCTCCCACTTGGCGGTTTCCTTGGCCGCCAACCCCATGTGCGCCCGGCCCACGGCCTCCCATGGCCTGGCCCCTTTGGCCCTGGCCTCCTCCTCTACCTTGCGGCTTCCCTCCAGCCGCGACAACAGCATAAGACCTCCCTTGTCCCACACTACTGCCATCATCCTCGAGGCCCCACTCTATCTGACTGTATGGGACCTCATCAGTACCACCTTCCTCTAAGGTAAGGATCATATGATCCTTGGCCTTGACTTGGCCAGAGATGGTATGCCCTTTCCACCCTTTTCCCTTCTCCAAGTCCTTGTGCCAGAAGGTGGTAACTGGCATGGACTTTGACTCATACAGGACGACTTCCCTACTGAATGCATCATATGTGATGCCGGCCTGTTGAGATTTGTCAAAGAAATGCCCGCGCAGGGCCTCTGGTATGGCACGATAAAACAATTGGACCAACTGGGTCTCAGTGACCCCATGGTCCGGGACGACCACTAAGTCGTCCATGGTACCCTTGAGTGCCCTGGCACTCCTCCACTGCCGTGAGTGGATCGTTTGCAGCTTGTCAGAGGCTCTAATGCCTCGCGTTGGGTCAACAAAACGCTCCTTGAGGAGCTTGAGGAATTGGGAAAGAGGGGTGACTTTGGAATATGCAACCAGGTTGTTTTCACAACCGACTGTACGCGCAAGAGACTTGGCGAAACTAGCCGCTTCATCTTTGAGGGCCTGGAAGGCCACGAGGACTTGTTCCTCCATCAGGATGTGCTGTAAGTAAATATAACTATTGACACTGGCTTCCCAGTTGTCCAAGTTTTCTTCCTTCTTTCCCCCGTACGCATCTGGGAACTTAAGTTTCACTGGGTCCTTACGGGGTCTGGCCTCTCCCTCTACAGCGACTACAACTTTGGCACCCTGAATGGCGCCCTCACAAAACTTCCCTACATTGTCTCTCAACTGTTTGACTTCGCCCCCAATGTGGGTGACGATTTCGCACGCAAAATCCCTGAAACAGGACCGCATGGCACTCAACGCGACGTCTTGGTTCCAGCTGGCCTGACGCTCCTCCATCCAGGCCTTGCTTAACACCTCTAGGTAGCCCAGTACTTTGTCCCACTTGGCCTTATCATCTGGCTGGGCCAGCACCTCCGCTCTACACTCCTGCACCTTTGCCACTACTGCGGTCATCTTATTCACTTCCTCTCTCCTCCTCTTCTTCTCCCTCTTCATTTTCAGCTTCCATGCTAACTTTTGCTCGTCTTCCCTCTCTCTTCGTTCCATCGGGTCTGTCATGGCTGCTAGCTCAGCGGACAGCGCAGCCTTCTCATCCTTAGTCACATAGGACTCCGCCTCCTCGTCTTCCCCCAACGATAAATTAGCGACCCACTCGTTGATCTTCTTCTCCAGCTCAATATCTGTCTCCCACTTCATCGTGCCACCACTGTTGCTCCCTTCTCCACTCTCAATTCTCATTCTCTCTTTCTCTTCTTCTGCTGCCGCTTCTGCTTCAGCAACTTTTCTTCTTTCTTCCTCCTCTTGTTGCACTCTCTTCATCTCCTCCTCCAACCTCTTCATCTTCACCGCTTGCTCGTCTGCGATAGTCTTTAGCTTCGCTTGCTTCTCACGCTTTTTTCTCTCCCTGTTCTCTTGGACTAAGGCGGCCATCTTTTCTTGCTGCTCCTTACTATAGGGGCTAGTCTCTAACCCACTACGGGTCCCAACCATGGTGATAAGTGTACAACCGGGTTAGTGGTTCCAGACCTCACCACGTAGACTCTGACCCCTGACTGACAAACCTATAGACTCAATCTAAGGACCCACAAAATCCTAACAAGGACTCTGTCAACTATGGTCTCTAGCCTAGACCTATGCTACGGCTGTCACTACTGAACCAGTGGCTGATCAGGAGGCATTTAAGGAGATCCCCCGTAACTCCTCAAGAATTCTTTAAGGTCGCAGACAGGACGGCGCGATCAGCTTGGTTCTGCCTGTGCTTTCAGCCCACAACTCAGCCTTTCCRGCCTACTGTGCCACACCGAGCAGCCCGCCGGTCTGTACCGGTCCTTGGGAGGGTTCGTATCCCCTGCGACAGTCGAGTCGTCAGACACAGATCATCAGCCTTACTTGGTCTGGTAGGGGAGTGGTTCAAACAGGCCCTCAACACTTAAAGACTGCGTGGTGTGTCAGCCCTAACTGCCGTTCAGGCCCACTGAGTCCTACCAACCGTTTCCAGCCGGTCAACACCAGTCCTTGGGAGGGTTATGCCCCCCTGGAAAGTTGGATCAGCCACAGTCTTAGCCCTACAAGGTCAGACTAGGGTTTCGTCTTCCAAGCCCTATCCTTCATCCACAGAGTACGATGAACTAGGACAGAAGAGACTCAATGCAGAAAGAATAGACAGACAGACTGTACTCAGCAAGTACCAAGGGGTATATGCACATCCATAGGGCAAGGGGTAGGCTAAGGGCTTGGCGAGATGTTACCAACTCCAGCTTGGTCAAAGTCTTGGTCAACGGTCTTGGTCAACGCCGGTCAACTCTGTGGTCAACCCTCGGTCAACCCCTGGTCAACTCTGGTAGCGCCGGTCAACATCCCCGGTCAACCCTCTCGGTCAACTCCCCGGTCAGCTATGGCTGCCGGCTCTTCTTCCTCGCCAATCCCCTTCTTCTTCTCTACCTCCCTCGCCTCCTTTCCCGCTGTCTTCTTCC